CGACCCTGTACAGGGTTTCCAAGGCTGTAAATCTTTACAGGAGCAGAAAGCCTCATCTTTCTCCCACGGAACAGATGGTAGTTTCGAACTGCTGACCATAAGGTTCACAGCCCGATTCATAACCACTACGCTACCAGCGTTCCAGATTTGATACATTAGACACAAATGATTGAAGACCAGAAAAATTGTGGTGTGACATCAAGAACATCATACAGGAAGAATGAAAACAACAAACCGGATGCCAGAAGAGACTCTGAAACTTGCTCTCTAGTGTAGAGATGCTAAAGCAAATGGTAGAAAGGAAGAGGTACAAGAGCTGAATGGAAAACTTCAGAGGGCAGCTCAAAAGACAAAGTCAAATATTAAAATGCAATGTGCAAAGATCTGGAGTTGGAAAATTAAAAGGGAAGAACACACTCAGCATTTTTCAACCTGAGGCAATTGAAGAAAACATTCAAGCCTTGACTTGTGGTACTGAAGGATTCTCTGGGCAGAACTGAATGATGCAGAAAGCATCAAAAGAAGATGGAAGAAATACACAAAATCACTGTACCAAAAAGAAATGGTCCATGTTCAACCATTTCAAGAGGTAGCTTGTGATCAAGAGCCAATGGTCCTGAAGGAAGAGTCCAAGATGCGTTGAAGACATTGGCAAAGAACAAGACCCCGTGAATACAAAATGGAATCTTTCAACAAACTAACGTGATACTGGAGGCACTCACTCATGTATGCCAGGAAATTTGGAAGACAGCTACCTTGCCACCTGGCTGGAAAAGATGCATATCTGTGCCCATTCCAAAGAGAAGTGACCCAACAGAAAGTGGAAATCATTGGGAAATATTAACACCACACGCAAAGATAATTCAAAAATGGCTGCAGCAGTACATTGACAGGGGACTACCATAGATTCAGGTCAGATCCTGAAGAGGACATGGATCGAGGGCTATCATTGCTGATGTCAGATGATCTTAGCTGAAAGCAGAAAACACCAGAGATGTTTACCTGTGCTTTAATGACTACGGAAGGCTTTTTGATTGTGTGGATGATGAGAAGTTATGGGCAACATTGTGGAGAATAGTATACCGGAACACTTAATTGTGCTCATGAGGAACTTGTATATACACCAAGAGGCAGCTGTTCGAACAGAACACTGAATGATTTAACATTAATAAAGGTGTGCTCCAAGGTTGTAGCCTTTCACCATACTTACTCAATCTGTATGTTGAACAAATTATTCAAGAAGCTGGGTTCTATGAAGAAAAATGTGGCAACAGGATTGGAGGAAGACTCATCAACAATGTATGATATGCAGATGATACACTTGCTGAAAGTGAAGAGGGCTTATTACTGATCAAGACCAGAGGAGAAAAGATTGAAGTTGTCCAAGACTTCATTTTGCTCAGATCAACCAACCATCAACACTCGTGGAAGCAGCAGTCAAGAGATCAGACGACGTATTGCATTAGGCAAATCTGCTGCACAAGACCTTTTTAAAGTGTTGAAGAGCAAAGTTGTCAGCTTGAGGACTAAGGACGCTTGACCCAAGCCATGGTATTTTCAATAACCTCATATGCATGCGAAAGCTGGACGGTGAATAAGGAAGACCGTA